TGCTCACAGCACTGGAGCAGAGGAAAGCAGCTCCAGGTCCTTCACTGACACCTTGTGTCAGAAGCAGGAACTGGATACAACAGCGACCACCAGGCAGGTTCCAAAGCTCCCAGCTCATGTGTACTGCACAGGGCCTCGGCTGAGAAACAACCAGAGCACCAGGACTTTTGGAGCTGAAAGAAGGGATTAAACGTGTTATTGCTAAAGGGTTTAAGAGAAAGCTTAAGCCAAAACAGCTCTCACACACACACCCTCAATCCTGGCCATGTTTTTCTGCACTTCTTATGGCCAGCTCAGGAGCCTGCCTGACCACAGACAGCCCATTTGGCTCTCTGGTTCTGACTCAACAAGGGAGAGCTTGGATCAGATTACTTTGTGATCAGACAAGCAGAGACAACAGGGGATCATGCAGAAAAGCATCATTTCCTCCCTTCCAGCAGCACTAAACTGCCAGCCTAAGTCCTGAAGCCGACAAGTCAATCCCTTAATGCTTCCAGACTGATCTGGGCACAGAGGGAGCAGCATTTCAGACCTGGAAGCACAACGTCCTCCAAGCAGCCAGAAATTCAATTCCCAGAGCCAGACCCAGAACAGCCTTGGTCCTTCAGGCTTTCTCTATGGCCAAGACAACCACCTGCTCCAGGACTGAGACTAACTGCAGAGCCAGAAGCAAAGATTAAACAGAGAATTTAGAAGAATTATCAGTAATTTATGCCCTAGTACTTATTTTGGCTGCTAATACATCAGCCACTGCCTGGATTTAGTACAGATGAGCATCTGGGAGGGAAACAAACACGTTAAAAGTCTGTGAAGCACAGAAAACAAGTACTGGAATGGCAAAATCAGCACTAAAAGGACAGAGGAAATAAACTGTTTGACCAGAGACCTATGTAAGTAACAAAGAACCATGCTCCTTTGAAGAAAAATCCCTCTCCAAAAGCACGCTAAGCAGGGAAACAGTGAGCCAAGTGAAGGAGTAACAAGATGGGCAGTGAATTTGGAAGAGCCTTCAGGTTCTGAATGAAGCATGACCAAGAGCACAGCAGCTGCCACCACCAGAGAGCTGCTGGGGACAGAACAGCAACAATGCCATGACAAACATACGGGAACTCCAACGTGACTCATTCCAAACGCAGCCAACACCACTCCAAGGGAGAACTTGGTTTAAGCAGCTTGGTTCAGAAACTGAGAAACAGAGAGAAAAGGGAAGCTCCAAGTACAGAAAAACTCCAAAGAGGAAGTTGCCTGCAGGAAAGGTGAAGAAGTCACAGTTCAGGGGATGCTGAGACTTGTGACTACCAAGAGAGCAGCAGTCACTCCCACTGCTCTCTTTCAGGCCCTGGACTCCACAGCAGGAATGCAAAGAAAGAGCTGAAAAAAAGGAAAAGTGGAAAAAGAGCTTCTGTCCTAAGTAAAAATATACTGGGGATTTTTAAGGTAGAGAGTGGGGCACAACAGAGCACTCTGTTCCCATTCTACTGTTACCTGCAGCTGCTCACTCCAGGTAACTTGCATCCAGGGTTCAGCTGGCCAGGGATTCATCTGAAGTGTCAATGTCAATTAACCACTCAGCAATGATTGTCTAGATAAAACTGATGCTTAACTAATTTTTTTTTAGGAGAAAGAATGATCCAATAATTATGGTTCCACTGATCAAAACAACCAACATCTCTGGGTATGTGTGTTTCTAATTTATTTCAAGATAGGCCTGGTTTTAATCTTTGTGATTTGTGGTCCAGGTTCTGTACATCAAGGAGTGAAAACTGGTAAGCAGGTCACTGATCAGAGGAACAGCTTAGCACCAACTAATTAAGATGACAAGCTGACCATAGGTGATGACAGAACTGTAGGACAATTTGGGTTGGAAGGGACCTTCAAAGGCCATGTAGTCCAACTGCCTACAATGAGCAGGGGCATCTTCAGCTAGACCAGGTTGTTTAGAGAATGGGGCACCTACCACCTCTCTGAACAACATGTGCCAGTGTTCCACCACCCTCACAATGAAAAAAGAAATCCTCACAATTCTGCAAGTTTATACACATTGATCTAGGAAAAAAAGGATGATGGCTGGAAATCAGAATTAACCTCGAAAGAGATCTCAAGATCACAGGCAACAGATAATTCACTGGGTAATTTATTCAGATGTGCACTAGATTTTATTCCACTAGTGATCCTTCAATAACAGCAGGTACTTTCCTAGGTGACCTCATCTCCTTAAACACTAATCATGGATATCAGGGAACTTAGATTATATCAATAACTTTATTCCAGGCCTTAAAAGGCTTCCTGCCCTTTAGGGAGTGATGGTACAAACACGTCTCACCAGCAACGCCTGTCAAAACCCACCAAGCTCCCAAAATCCGCAGGGCACAGCTACACGGCCACCTCAAGAAAGCAGTGGGAGCCCAAGTTCCCTCACAGCAGCGTATCAGCTGCTGCAATCGCACGGCCGGGCTGACCGGGAAACTGAGTCAGCCGGGGCGGGGTGGGGGGCCAGGGCGGGACACGGACTGCGTCCTCAGCCATGGGGTAAAAAGGGAACAGCTCCTCAAAAACGCCGCTATCGGCTCTTTTCCCCGCTGCCAGCCAGCGCCTTTCCTCCCCTCGTCTCCCCACAGCCCCTGAGCCCGGACATTCCCCTCAGGATGGCGGGGAGCGGGGGGAGCCGTTCCCGCTTGCCTCAGGCCTCCACCGCTACTCACCCTCCAGGCTCTCACACTGCACCAGGTTCACGTAATCGCCTTGCCGGAGCACCCCCGCCTTAAAGCCGCGCACCAGCCCCTCCAGGTAGCCGTTGTCCACGTTGAAGTAGAGCTCGGGGAAGCACGACATGGCGGCGGCCGCTCCGCCGCCTCACGTGACCGCGCGCGTCACGTGGCGCGGCCCCTTCCCGGCAGCCCCCGCGCGGCGGGAGCCGCCTGAGGCGGCGGAGCGCGCGCGGCCCCTTCCCGGCAGCCCCCGCGCGGCGGGAGCCGCCTGAGGCGGCGGAGCGCGCGCGGCGCCGCGCGGCGGGAGCGCCCCCTGCAGGACCCGTGAGGGACCGCGAGGCTCCGGCGGGGAAAACGCGGTGAGCGAGCGGATATCGCAATGAAGGTTACATGTGTCACGTTAGAAAGTTATGGGTGTTAGTTCCCTTAAGTAGTGCGTTGAATAGTTTTAGGTTCCAACGTAATGTTAAAATACAGACTGTGAAAAATGCATATTCTATGATTGGCTTTGCACAAATATTACAATGAATATTACACGTGGAATGTTAGAAAGTTATGTATTAATTCTCTTAAGTAGTGTGTTAAATACAGTTTTAGGTTCCAACATAATATTAAAATAGACTGAAAAATGCATATTTAATAATTGGCTTTTCACCAATATTACAATGAATATTACATGTGTCACGTTAGAAAGTTATGTGTATTAGTTCCCTTAAGTAGTGTGTTAAATACAGTTTTAGGTCCCAACATATTGTTAAAATAGAGACTGTGAAAAATGCATATTCTATGATTGGCTTTTCACCAATATTACATGAATATTATATGTGTAATGTTAGAAAGTTATGCTGTATTAGTTCTCTTAAGTAGTGTGTTAAATACAGCTTTAGGTTCCAACATAATGTTAGAGTAGAGACTGTGTATGTGGGGGAAAGTTTGGTTTTTTTTAGGAATGAGATACTCGCTTTGAGGAACATGTAAATCTTCCAAAGAAAAGGAATTTATGGTTTTCTTGTCAGAAGAAGCAAATTTCTTCAGGCCTTGCTCAGACTCAAAGATGCCTTGGGGATTAAAGGAAACAGTTGACATACAACAGACAGAATTCTTGTTTTAAATAGAATGTATGCAGACCACGAAGGATATATGAATATGCAACAGGCTGTTGCTTTTAAGGTTATTCCTTTGTTCACAAGGGATGCTTTTTGTGACTTGGTGTCCAAGAGCATCTGGACTTTGCTTTTTATTGTGTTGTAATTGTCCTAACTCTAAACTTTATTACTCTAATTGTATTACTATTTTTATAACCATTTTATTATTATTAAACTTTTGAAATTTTAAAAACCAAGTGTTTTTCACACTCCCCTTCACTGCACCTAAGCCGCTGAGAGTGACACAGGCAGGAGGAGGACACACAAGTAAAGTTCACAGTGTCAGCTACTGCTGAGACACCACTTATACTAGTCAGGAAATACCCACCCAGTTAAAGGGCTTTGCCAGGAGCTGCTCTGTTAAAAAAATAAAATATTTTTGTTTGATGTAAAGGTGTTGCAAAGTGTGGGATATGTCAAGGTTATATTAAGGCAAGATGTTCTTTGATGTAAGACCTCAAACCTAATCAGGAAGAAAGGAGACCTGATCAGTGGAACAGGCAGCAACCAGCACCCCTCACTCAAGAATATCCTGGAACAAGTTTTAAGGATGTAGTAAGTCAAAATGGTGATGTATGCCTACATGTATGTTAATATGGCAAAATTCTCAAGGTCCATGCATCCTAGAGCTGAGCTGTCTTCACTGTTACACTGAAAATCATGCCTGCAGGGTCAAAAAGACCCTTCCCCTGAGCATGAGTAAAGGTTACCTGGATTAAGTTACGTGATTTCTATGGAAATTACTAACCAGTCTTAATAGAGGGGCTGTCCTTGGGAAGTTACTAACCCTGAACTTCTCTGTGTAAATAATGGCACAGAAAGTCTGGTGGGGTGTGCTGGATTTGTGGAATAGCACTGAGCACCCAGGCTGGGGCAGCTCTGAAATAAACAGTCAATGTCCCTCTGATTGTGTCATTATTGGCTCAGAGCACACCAGGAAATGAACCCGATTTTGTGGGTGACAGCAGCATAGCCAGAACATCACCTGGGGTGCCCCTGCTGCTGGAACAGCACTTACATCACCAGGAGAGGCACGTCTGGTTTGACGTGGGTGTGTCCTGGGGACACTGCCCAGCTGTGCACGGGCCACCCCACCTTGCTGCCACCCCCCGAGAGCCCGAGCGGACACGTCACACCATTCCCACTCTGCCATGGCTTTGCAAAGGGCTGCTTTATTGGAGCTGCAGAGAAGGAGGCGCACGCAGGGGCGAGGAGCCGGCAGCCCCACGGGCGCTAGTTCTTGCCGCAGGGGAAGTTGGTGCTGATTTTCCTGCAGTAGCAAAAGGCGTTGAAGAAGCGGCAGTAGCAGGTGGCACAGGGGTCACAGCAGGGGATCTGGTGGCCGAGGCAGGACTCCAGGAGACGGACGCAGCGGCGGGGGGAGCGCTCCTCACGGCCCTCAGCTTGCAGTTCTGTGGATGATGCCTGCAGGGGAGAGAGGAGGAAGAGGAGGGGAAGACCTGGTCCTGGACCACTGTGCCAGCAATAAAGAACCGTGTGGGAGAGAGCCAAGAGTGGCTGCTGAAACTTGGCATTGCCAGCAGCAGAGGCTTCTGTCATGTTCAACTCCAGGCTCTATTTTCTCTTGGAAATCACTGCTGAGCACTGTGGACTCTCTGCAGGTTCAGCAGTGCACTCATCCACAGTGTCTTATGGCCTTTCTGCACACATTTATTTTGAAGCACAGCCTGGACTTTAGCAAACGGTGCTGTGCCTTCTGCCCAAACAGAGACACTGGGGGCTGAGCCAGGCAACACAGGGCACTGCCCAGCAAACTCCTGCTCTGCAGAGGCTTCCTGGGCTGTGCTTGAGCTTAATTAAGTGGATTACAGGAGCACAGGCTTGGACCACTCTCCTTTGAGTGCTGGAGCCCCTTGGAGGTCTGAGCAACCTCAGCTCATCCCAGCTCCTCAGGTGAGGGACAGATAGTCCTGTACCAGGCAGCACCGTGCTGGGCTCCAAACCCCCAGCCCCAGGGACATAGAGAAGGCTGCTGTGGCCTGAGGCTGCCCTGCTCTTAGGGGTGTCTGTAGGAAAGCTCAGGGAGCCATACCTGTGTTTCCAGCAGGCTGCCTCTCTGCACGAGGTCACCATCAGCTTCTTGGACCCCCAGGGCCATCTGCTCAAACCCCAGCCTTGGGAGAGCTCCTGCGGGATACAGAGAGACTGCACAAGGAGGCTGCTGGAGGGTCAGCTCAGGGGTCTTCTCCCTTTGCTCGTGTGTCCCCACAAGAAAAAAAGACCCCGCTCCCTGTGGGCTGCCAGGCTGCTCTCACTAGCCAGGGCCAGGAGAAGCTGTGCTGCATTAAGGGGACCCCCAGTTCAGTTTTGGGGCCCTGGGTTTTCCAGCGAGCGGCCGCTGGGGTCAGTGAAGAGCAGGCAGCCGCAGCACTCACCTGCCGGCTCCACAGACGCCTCCTTGCCTTTCCGCTGCAGGCTGGCCTGCCGGGCTCTGTCCACCCGCTCCAGCCCGCCGCTCGCCTTCTGCAGGTGGCCACAGCTGAGGTCAGCAGTCCTGAGATCCAGGGCAGCCTGGATTCCCTGCAGCAGCCCACAGCACAGCAGCAGCACGTTCAGCATGGTCCTGGGGGAAACCTGTGCAGAGGGGCCTGGCCGGCATCAGCCCACTGCTGGCACCTGGCCTGTCCCATCCACTGCCATCATCCCCTGCCACCTTGAGAAGTGCCGTGTCAGCGAGGGCCAGCCTCTGCCAGCGCAGCCACCACTCCCAGCTGTTTCTTCCCTTGGACCTGAGAGCCTTTTTTTGGGCCCGCAGACACCTGGGAGCAGGAGCCCCCAAAGCTGTCATGTGCTGTGGGGCACTGCACATGTGTGAGCACATTTATGATCTCCCCACAGAAAGGAGTGTCCAGCAGAGAATGGATTGAGATTTGATCTGTTTTGCATCAGTTCAGGTTCTTCTGCTCCACACACAGCAACCACCAGACACATTGAGGTGCACAGTGTGTGGCCAAAACATCTGACACAGCTCCTGCCAGGCTCTGAGCCTAGAAGTGCCACTAGAATCTGAGTGCTGGGCAGGAATATGGACCACAGCACACACAGCTGTGGGCTTTGGGGGCCTGAAGGCTCTTAAAAATCTTAGGGAGCGAAAGGAAAGGGGCCAGGAGGTGGTATCCACCAAATGTCAGCCAAATCCTTGGAAACCCTGTGCCTGCTGCTTGGGCAGCCTTGAGGTTCCAAACCTGGCTCCAGCAGCCCAGTGCTGGCCACTCTTCATCTCCCATCCCACAAAACCACCCAGCTCTTTGCTGGGAGAGACCCCTCTGCACTGTGGGGAGCCCCACAGCCATGGGCATCACATCCCGCATGCTCCCGAGCCCCTTCCCGTGGTGAGCACTGACCTCTCCCAGCAGAGAGGGGGGTTGCTGTCCGCTGCTCCCTGAGCTCGCTGGAAGCTCCGCTACCACTCTGCCTCAGTGTCCTCCTCCCCACATGTTTACTGGGATTTATATCAGCTTTTCATTAATTAAGTGCTGTAGCCACATGACTTTGCTAACTAACAGGTAGGTGGGAGTCTCTGGAAAACGGGCTTTGTCTGGATAGAGAGGCAGCCAGCGGGGTGATGCATGGGAGCGGGGGACTCCTGCTTTGTGCCTTGCACAGCTGCAGGAAGGAACAGATCCCTGTTAGCTCCAAACTCACAAGTTTTCTTTGGAAGTGATCCCCACTGTCCTTTGGCCCACTTCCCTTTCCAGCACCTAGCCTGAGGACATCTCCTAGTTCCCAAATACAGAAATAACAGGGCTACAATCTCCTTACCAAAACCATGCCAAGCTTGACTGGTTTTCAAAGGGAATGTTGCCTATCTGTATCTTCTGTCAAGCATCCACTCATAGTGCAGAGCCTCCAGTAAGTCCTCCAGCTCCTGACCACATAGCATCTGCAGATTCTCCAGGCTTCCACCTGTGCTAACTGCATCTCTTACTCATGTCTTATTTGGAAAACCTGCATCTCCCCAGAGCCAGGCTTCTTTGGGGAACACTTGTGGTCTTGAGTGGCTTCAGCCGTACGAGGAACTGGGGGAATAAGATATAACAGGAAGGGTTCAGCAGGCTCTTACATTCCCAGCAGGGAAGGCTGACAGCCCAGGTTCTTCTCTGCCCTCACCAGGTTCTTCCTAGACTGAGAGGACCCCTCAGGCCTCCCAGCCCGTCCTCAGCAGAGTGAGACACTGCTCCTGGCTGCAGCACCACCTCTGGGGCTCTTGGCACGCTCCCTCGGCTCCTACATCCCCTATCCTGGCATGACCTGATTCCTGCTGCATTGAAGGGACAGGCTGAGCAGGCACCAGTGAGGAGTTCATCTGCCATGTGTCATTTTCTCCAGTTGCGCGTGGCTGCTGGAAACACTCGGCACTCACCTGGGTGCCCCAGTGCACCACACCCGGTCAGGATGCCCTGCCACAGCACCCGGATGCCTCCTGCACCCCACATGCCTGGACAGACTCATCTGGGGCGAGAGGCCGGTTCGGCAGCCCTTTCCACCGCCGAGGCCCAGGTGGGTGCCGAGTGTCCCAGGCAGCCCCAGCCCCTGCGTTGCTCAGCCGCGGGTCCCCGCTGCCCGCAGCCCCCGCACGGAGCCCCAGCACAGCTCATTAGCGCCTGTTTGCAGCCGGCGGGGCCGCGGGCCAGGACTTCTGGGAAAGCATTAACGGGAACGAGGGCGGCCGCGCTGAGAGCTTTTTAATCTGCAGGAGCAACATCTGCTTTGTGCGCATCCCCATCGCCAGTAACGAGCTAAATGAGGCGGCCGGCCGCTCGCCGGGCCGCTTCCAGGAAAACACGGGCTTAAAGCGAGGGGGAAAGGGGGGCCAGGGCTGCGCTCCCGGCTCAGTGGTTCAGGCTCCAGCGGGGCTGGGAGCGGGTGATGGAGTGGGTTAGTGGCACAGCAGAGATGCCCATGAGCGGGCATCCCGAGCAGAAGCCCCCAGCGGCGGGACCCTCCGGAGACAGGCCCGGGCTGGGGGCTCTGCCTCTCCTCCTGGAAGCATCAAGGCAGGCGGCTCATTTAGCTCATCACCAGCCCCCGTTACCGCTAAGGCCAAGCGAGTCCCCGCTACCCCAAACAGGCGGTAACGAGCCGGGCCGCGGGAGCTGCGTGGCAGCGGTAGGCAGGGGCTGCCCCTCGGAGGTGCGATGAGCATCGCCCCGGCCCCAGCGCCGCCGGCCGGGCCCTTTAAGGCGCGATCCCGGAGCCGCCTGACGTCAGCGGGGCGGGCGCGCCCGGGCACCGCAGCCCGGCGGCCGCAGCTCCGCGCCCCAGCGAGCGCGGCTCCGCCGGGGCGCACCGGGTGATCGGGGTGGGTATCGGGGTGCCCGGGGCGCTAGAGGGGGAGCATGGGGGTGCCCGGGGTGCTGAGGTCTGGGGGTGAGGGCATGGGGTGGCAGGGATGTTGGGGATTGGAGATGGGGATACGGGAGTGACAGGGGTGCTGAAGACCTGAAGGTTGGTGTTATGGGGGGGTGCTTGGAGTGCTGGGGACTGGAGATGGAGGTCTGGGGGTGCCAAGAGGTGCTGGGTAGTGGAGGTGAGAATATTGGAGTAGCCAGGATGCCGAATATCTGGAGGTTGGTATTATTGGGGTGCCCAGGATGTTGGGGTCTGGGCGTATGGGGTGACAGGGGCACTGGTGATTTGGAGGTAGGACTACGAAGTGCTCAGACTGCTGGGAACCAGGAGAGAAGGGGTATGGGGCTGCTCAGGGTGATGAGGGACTGGAGGCAGGAGTATTGGGGTGCCCAGAGTGCTGCAGTTCTGGACATCTGGAGGAGAGGGTTTCAAGATGTCCTGGGGTGCTGGGAAATAGAGGATGTATCGGGATGTCCAGGATGCTGGGAACTGAAAGTGGGATGTTGGAGTGCTCAAGATGCTGGGGACCTGGACATGGGGATTATGGGATGCCCTAGGAGATGGAAGATGGAAGTATTGAGATTTCCAGAGTACTAGGAACTGGAGATGGGGATACAGATGGGGGCCTAGGTCCTGGGATGGGGACTGGGAGGCAGAGTGTCAGGGGTGCCCAGGCTGCTGGGCACCTGATGTCCTGGCAGTGCTGTGTCAGTGCTGCTGGGGGACCTGGTATTCGGAAGCACCCCGTCCCTCACCCCACATTGCTCAGCATCTCCTCCATCCCACAGCGCCTGATGCCCGTCCCCACCTGACGGCAGCGCCATGGCCGGGGCACAGAGCTGCGGCGAGGGCAAGATCGCGGGGCTGTACGACCTGGAGCGCACGCTGGGCAAGGGCCACTTTGCAGTGGTGAAGCTGGCCCGGCATGTCTTCACTGGGCAGCGTGTGGCCGTCAAGGTGATCGACAAGAGCAAGTTGGCGGGGGAGGCGGCGGGGCAGCTCCTGCAGGAGGTGCGCTGCATGAAGCTGGTGCAGCACCCCAACGTGGTGCGGCTCTACGAGGTCATCGACACCCACGCCAAGCTCTACCTCATCCTGGAGCTGGGCGACGGTGGGGACATGTTTGACCACATCATGCGGCACGAGGGCGGCCTGGCCGAGCCACGGGCCAAGCACTACTTTGCCCAGATCGTCCATGCCATTTCCTATTGCCACAAGCTCCACGTGGTGCACCGCGACCTCAAGCCCGAGAACGTGGTCTTCTTCCAGGAGCAAGGGGTGGTCAAACTCACCGACTTCGGCTTCAGCAACCGCTTCCAGCCCGGCAAGATGCTCACCACCAGCTGCGGCTCCTTGGCGTACTCAGCACCAGAGATCCTGCTTGGGGATGAGTATGATGCCCCAGCTGTTGGTAAGGGCTGAGGGCTGCCCTGAGGACCTGCCTCCCCTCCTGTCCCTTGCCTGGAGCATGGTCTTGCCAGCTGGGTACCACCTCCCACTTAGCCCCTTACACTAGGAGCACACAGTGGCACTGCTGTCCCTGCAAGGAACAAGCCTGTCCCTTGGGTGCTTGGCTGCCCAGCCCTGCCCTGGCACAGCAGGGTCCTCCCCGCAGAGACCATCCCGGCATCCACAGAGATCCCATAGAGTGATGGTTGCCAGAGAGGGGAAAAAGCCCAAGCAGGCTGTGAGCCTGGTGTGGCAGCTGCCAGGAGAAGCAGTGTGAGGATACAGCTGCCAGCAATCTGGCGCTGGTGGTTATTTGGCGGGGCGAGGCAGGAAGGAAATCTGCTCGGGATGCTGCTGTTTGGGCGGAGGAGCTCCGAAAGTTTCCTTTGCTCCATCCCCGCCCTGAAAACCACTTCCTCCCCATGGCTCTCTGTGCTCTTCCTGCCCTAGTGCAGGGGAGGTGCAGGGGTCTGGGGAGACTGTCCAAGGGCACAGGGAGCTGGGCTGGGGGCTCCAGGAAGCTCTGCTGTGACACAGGAGACGTGGGAGGGAAGCAGGATCCGAGCTGGCTGGCTGGCTGGAATTAGGGCAGGAGGATTTAGCAAAGCAAAACACGAGCCCTTAAAGGCAAAAGCCCAGCGTTGGCTCAGGGAAAGGCGGATCCGAGTTGAGAACAGGGATAGCTTATGGAGGCGGTAGAAAAATAAGCTGGCGGCGCTGCAAAGGGAAATGAAAAGAGAAAACCGACGCAGATGAGAAATTTTCGAACACTTGACTTAAGCAGCTGAAGGTATTAGCGGAGTGCCCCAAGGCATGCTCAGCATCCTAAACCCACACATCTGCAGGAATTTGTGTGCTGGGCAGGAGGAGCCAGTGAAGATGCTTCTGGCTCCATCCCTGTTCCCAGGACAAGGCAGCAATCCTGCTCCAGCTGGTCCCCATGCAGCTGGAGAGCCTAGATCGGTGCTATATCCCTCTCTGATGCTGTTGTGTCTCCTAAAGCACAGCCCAGGGCCAGGATGGTTGTGGTGGGGTTTGGGAATCAGGAGCTGAGGAATCACCTGAAGCAGTGCCATGGGTGGGTGTGTGACAGGGGGGAGTGGGGAGGGGGGCAGAGCTCAGGGCTGGCCTTTCTGTCCCTACCTGGACAAGGTGATAACACCTCAACTGTTTTGGTGAAGTCCCTTGAGACCTGGTTGGATGTGGGGATGGGACGGTCCTTCCCTGCCTTGGTGGGAGTATGGTCCCCCTCTCCAAGGGGAAAGACCTCTGTTACCTCCAAGGAACATACCAGTGAGCACTGGTGGGCAGCCCCTCCCAGGGTCCCTGGGGTAGGGAATCTCCTGGGCCATGGTGAGTGCAACCTGAACTGCTGCTGCTGCTGCTTCTTGCAGACATCTGGAGCCTGGGAGTCATCCTCTACATGCTGGTGTGTGGCCACCCCCCCTTCCAGGAGGCCAACGACAGCGAGACCCTCACCATGATCATGGACTGCCGCTACACTGTCCCCCCACACGTCTCGGCACAGTGCGCTGAGTGAGCACCACCCCCTCACCGTACCCCCAGACCCCAACTCACTGCCCCCGGGGTGGGTGCCCCAGCCCTGGCAGATGCCTGGGAGCTGAGGTGGGGAGAGCAGGCAAAGCGGCTTACTTTGGGATTCACGTAGTGTGCAGGGTTGCAATGTCACTCCTTTTCCCCAGTCTCATCTCCAGGATGCTGCAGCGGGACCCGAAGCAGCGAGCATCCCTGGAGCAGATCGAGGGCCACACGTGGCTGCAGGGGGTGGACCCGTCCCCTGCCAGCCGCTCCCTGCTGCCCCTCACCTCCCACAAGCGCGTGTCTGAGGAGGAGCACGAGATCATCCTCCAGGCCATGATGTGCGGGAACATCGCAGATCGGGACACCATCCAGGAGTGAGTGACGGGATGTGGGGGCGGGAGACCCGGTGAAGGGCTCTGGGGGTCCCTCCAAGCATGTCCTTGTGTGCTGCTGCAACTCCCTGGTCCCACACAGGGCGCTGGAAGCCGACCGCTACAACCACATCACGGCCACATACTTCCTGCTGGCGGAGAGGATGCTGAGGGAGAAGCAGGAGAAGCAGGGCCACCGCCTCAGTCTCGTTTACAACCTGGCCAAGGAGGTACAGAGCAGGTGAGCCCCCCTGCTGCCGCCCATCCTGTGTCACCCTCCCCCCCATCCTGGGTCCTCAGTGCAGGGTCTTGGCCGGACCCCTGTCCTTTTCCTTGCCACAGCCCTTGTGATGCCCAGCTGGGCACTGACACCTCTCCCCTTCCCCAGGCCCAACCTGTCAGACACGTTCGGCTCTGCGGGCAGTGCCGGTAGCCTCCTGCCCTTCACGGAGATAGGCGGCCTCGCCGGGGGGCCCCGGCTGCCCTCTGGAGGGGACATTGGCGGCCGGCAGCCCACCGGGACCCTACTGAAGGTCCCTGCCGTTGACACCACCATCACCAAGAGCACCCCGGCCCTGCAGCAGATCTGTGAGGAGGAAGAGGAGGACGAGGAGGAGGAGGAGAGACCCAGCGCAATGGAGAGGAAGAGCAGCTCTCTGAACCAGGAGCAGATGCGAGCCTTCCTGCGCGCTCACCGCCCGCCCGGCCGCGGGGAGGTCTGGGGGCCGGGGGTGGAGCTGGGGGGCCGGGGCGGGCGCTCAGGGATGCCCTGGGCTGGGAAGGGAGTGAGTGGGAGCCGGGGTCTCCCAGTGCTGCGGGGAAATGGAGGTGAGCCCCCGAGGAGGGAGGAGGACACAGAGCCTGGGGGCTCCTCAGCAGAGTTCCCCAAGGAAAAGGGAGCTGTCCTGTCACCCCAGAGCAGCTCAGCTGAAGTGCCCCAGGTATTGGGGGCAGAGACAGCTCCTGCCACCCTTCCAAGTCCTGCAGACATGTCCCCAGGGCAGGGGGAACAGATCAGTCCAGCCCAGCAGTCGGTGGAGAGCTCAGGCCCTGAAGGGGGAGCAGAGAGTGTGATCAAGCTGGACCCGGGCAAGAGCAAGGGGGGCAGCCTGCGGGACAGGCTCCTGCAGTTCCCGCTCTGCGAGAAAGCCCTGGCCTTCAAACTCCGGCCGGGCTCCAAGGAGAGCCTCTTATCCCTGGGGCAGTTCAACTGCTGCCATGTCATTTAAGGCCCTGGGACTGGCCCCGCTGTGGGGACTGGGAGGGCGCCACTCCCCTGCCTTTGGCCTGTGGTGGCTGCGGGGCTAGCGGGTGGCACAGTGCCCTGCTTTGTCACCCGTGGTGGCCACCCTGCCAGCACCCAGCCCTGAGCCCGCTCTGACAGACCATCCCCTGGACAGGCCTGCCCAGGGTGAAGCAGACTGGGGTCCATCCCAGCACCGGCCAGTGTGGCCCCAAACCTCTGGGAGAGCTCCATGACCCCGCCGGAATGCGATGGACCACGACACTTTTTTAACTACTAGAAATAATTTTTTTAAATAGTCTATTTTAATGTAATTAAATAGAGATTGCTATATCCCCCCAGACCCCTCAGTGCCCCAGCCCCACAGTGTGCATGGCCTGGGGCTGGGCTGTCCTGCCTGCAGCCCCCCCACCAGCCCTGGTCGGGGCCAGGCACAGCCTGGCCCGTGACCCCAGGCTGTCCCCTGGGCCCTCTCTGCAAATAAGCTTCCTATTTATTATCTCTTTGTTTTCTTGCTGGCAAGAAATGAATGACGACGGAGGCATGGGCCGGAGCTCAGCCTGAGCTGTGGCACATGCGCCTGGAAGGATCGGAGCCGCTGGGAAGCAAAGTTTGTCAGGACAATAAAATAAACTCGTGGGTTGATGTGGGTGCAGTGTCATTGCAGAAACATCTCTGTCCCCCCATTCAGGGCACCAGGGGAGGCTTTAAGGGAACATCTGCCTGTGCTGGGGTGGGCAGGGGCCCAGAATGGAGCTCGGGGCAGCACAGATGGGAGTAAGGACAAGGATGATGAACACCCAAAGGTGAGAGATGACCTGGGCATGCCAGGAGGCAGGTGGAGGGTGCTGCACATCCCCTTGAGAGTCAATCACACTCAGCCTTCAGGGTGCCCCCAATAGCTTTCCCCACTCTCAGCCTGGAGCCATCCCTGAGCCCCCAATTTCAAGCCCAGCCTGGGCTTCCTTCCCTCCAGCTCTCCTTGTTCCTTTGCTATCCATCCATCCGGATAGCTCCCTTGTCTGTCCTCACCATCCAACATGAGATCTGAGTACTGGGTGGTTGAACAGAGCAATCTGTGTGGGTCTGAGGTGGGATGGAGCCAGCTCAAACACCTCGGGGAGTTGGTGATGGGAAAAGAAGGACAGGGGTGCACCCCAGGTACGCTGCAGCCCCCACAGGGCCCCAGCAGCAGGAGGGGGATGCTGCTCCTGCCCACACACTCTTGTTCTTGATTTTAAAGGATAAAGCCACCGCCTGAACAGGGGCTTGAACCCTGGACCCTCAGATTAAAAGTCTGATGCTCTCCCAGCTGAGCTATCCAGGCTCACATTTGGGCAGGGGGTGCAGGTCTGTGACAGGTGGGGCACCCCGCTCTCCTCAGCTTGCAGGGACAATGTGGGCACCCTCTCTGCTATTCCCCGCTCCCCCAACGAGGCTCCCAGCGCAGGCCAGACTGAACCCGGGCTCTGGGAATGTCCCTGGGCGCTGACCGGGCACAGGGATGCGCCCTGGGAAGATGCCGCTGCCGCAGGGATGCGGGGCAGGGAGAGGAGCAGGAGCTGCGGGAGCGGCTGTGAAACCTCCCCGCTCCCCGAGGGAGGCAGGAGGGCCCCGCGGGGACGGGAGAGCGGCGGCTGCGGCCGGTCGGGCTCCGAGCTCTGCTCTGGGGCTGCGGCAGCCTCGGCTCCATCGAGCCCCAGCGGCGCTTTGCAGGAGCCGCGTTAGAGCGGAGCGAGGGAGGCTGCGGGAGCCGGGCCACCGGGACACGGAGCCGTGGGGCACCTACAGCTGCCACCCACATACTCCACTGCCCTTCCTCCCCATTCCTCAGGAAGGGCCCTTTTGCTCTATAGGGAACCCACCCTGTCAGCCAGCCTTGCCCAGCTCCGAAGGGACCGGAGAAGATGAAAGCCAAACCCAATTGCAGACAGGGCGGGGGGCCCCAGGGACAGCCCGCAGAGAAGCCCGTGGGGGCTCTTCAAACGCCTCGTGCGCATTAATTGGCTTCATTAGAGCAGCCAGGGATGATCAGCCCCGCTTGTGCTGGGGCTGGGGACAGCACTAATGAGTCGGGGAACGGCGGCCTCGGGACGGGAGATCAGAGCCCACACGTACGGTGGGACTGTGCGTGGTGTCGACTGAACAAGAGCACAAGCTTAATTATCCTGATTAATTAGAGTCTGCTGCTTTTACCCCATGTCTGGAGCTGTGACCACACCGGTGCGCGGCCCCCCGGCAGCCACGGAGGCACCGGAGCCCCCCGAGGTGCAGTGGCCCGGGCTGGACACACCCGCAGAGAGACGCGTGGTGGTCCCTGGATGCCACCGAGAGGCACCATAGGCACCTCAGAGCCCTAGGGAGGTGCTCGGAGGCTCCCGGCCGCTGCTGCTCCGGCTCTTTCTGTCCCTTTCCGGCCACCGTCGGCCCGGCCCATGGGGCGGAGCTCCCGCCCGGGCACGCGTGGTGCATTGTCATGGCGTCGGCGCCCAAGCGGTTCAAGGTGCGGGGCAAGGGGCTGCGGGGAGCTGGGCACGCACCTGCTCCTGGGACGGCGGCGCTGAAGGGATCCGCGATCGGCCTCGTGCCTCCTTCCCCTTCACCCTATGTTCCCATCCACAGGCGGCGGTCGGGAGCGGCGCCCAGGGGAAGAGTAGTGCCGACCCCCTCGCCGGGTTCCTGGCATGGTGCGGGCGGGCCGGGGTGGAGCTGAACCCCAAGGTGAGGCACGGCGGGCCGGCCCGGGCACGGCCTAGGGCCGCCCTGGTCTCTTCGCTCCGCCCCTCACCGCTCCCTCCGGCCCCAGGTCCGCCTGAGCAGGGAGGGCACGGTGGCGGGGTACGGGATGCTGGCCGCCGAGGAGCTGCAGGCGGGAGAGGTGCTGTTCACCATCCCTCGCACGGCGCTGCTGTCCCAGCACACCACGTCCATCCACGCACTCTTGCAGGAAGGTGAGTGCAAGCTTCTTATGTCACTCGAGTCTGCTGTACCTTTTAAAGGAGTAAATGGGTCTGTGGTAAAGCCTCGGGATCGTTTCTGATTTGTGCAGGATGCTGTAGGGCTGTTTGATACCAGGTAGGAAAGGGGAGGGCTGGGCATCCCCTCGCTTCCCTCAGACCTGTGCTGCACAGGGAGAAAAATCCATCAGTGCAAAATCTCCAGCTTCTGTACTAAGCTGCTTTCCTTGAGGCACTGTTAAAAGAAGAGTTCATTGGTTCCTCAAGGCATGAAGAGCCTCAGGCTGAGGAGGGCAAGGCCATGAGGCCTGGAAGAACTCATCTGTAGCTCCAGAGAAGCTGTCTCTGGTCCTGGTTCAGCTCAGGACAAACACAAGACAAACTTGAATAAAAGCTCAACCCCATCTCCAAGCTGAAGACAGGCATGGAGGCTTGTCATCTAATAATTTGATTCTGAAATGCAGAACAATTAAGGTTTTCTCCATCCTGTCTGGTTCTGCAGCCCAGGAGTCCCTGCAGAGCCAGTCCGGTTGGGTCCCTCTCCTGCTGGCCTTGCTCCATGAGTACACAGCCAGCAGCTCCCACTGGCAGCCGTATTTCTCCCTCTGGCAGGGCTTCCGGAGCCTGGACCACCCCATGTTCTGGTAAGGTGAAAGCAGGGGGGCTTGGGGAGGCTCAGTCTTACAGCTGAAGGCAGGCGCGGGCCAGGGGGTGCTGAGTGTTGTCCTGGGAAGGGATGTGGTCCTGCTGGGTGACCCCAACCCTCTGTCTGAGCCCTTTGCTGGCACTGGCAGGAGCCTAAGGAGCCCTCCTGGAGTTACATTACAGGCAGAGCTAGAGAACAAGGACCTGGAGAGCACGGGGAAGCTGTGATTTTTAAGGAGGAAGGAGTTTATAGACCCTTAGGCCTAGCACTGATGGAGAAGAACCTGTTTTTCTTGCAACAGGCCACAAGAAGAACGAACAAGGCTCCTGCAGGGCACAGGCATCCCAGAAGCTGTGGACAAGGATCTAGCTAACATCCAGCTGGAGTACAATTCCATCATCTTGCCTTTCATGGAGACCCACCCCGACATCTTTGATCCCAAATTGCACACTCTGGAGTTGTATAAGGAACTGGTGGCATTTGTCATGGCTTACAGGTGAGAAGTAAGGGCTTTGCTCCAGCAAGGAGCACGGACAAGGAAGTAGGAGTACAGGCTACGTCAGAGGTTGCAGCTGCACAAGAATCTAAGTGTAAGGTGAAGCCTGCCCTGTGCAGCTGTGTGTACCACTGGCTTGTCTTAGCTTTCAGGAACCTTTGGAGGAGGAAGAAGAAGATGAGAAGGGGCCCAATCCTCCCATGATGGTTCCTGTAGCAGACATTTTGAATCATGTGGCCAACCACAATGCCAACCTGGAATACTCTCCTGTGAGTGCAAAGCTGTTGTGCCAGGCATTGTCACAACTTGGTTCTGTTTTACTAAGACTTATGGGAATGGATGCACAACAGGGTGGGGTCTCAACCCAGGGCAGCAAGTCTGGCCTGGATCTCATTAAAACAAAGCCCTGCTGCATGTTTGGTTAGGAGGAGCTCAGGGTCATCCAAGTCTCTGAAAGCTCCTGTTGAGCAGTTGGATCAGCACAGCTCAGATGCTCTCCTGTCCCTGCTTGCAGCAATGTTTGAGGATGGTTACAACGCAGCCCGTGAGGAAAGGACAGGAGATCTTCAACACGTATGGGCAGATGGCCAACTGGCAGCTGCTGCACATGTACGGCTTCGCAGAGCCCTACCCCGGCAACAGCCACGACACAGCCGACATCCAGATGGTGACGCTGCGCAGGGCGGCTCTGCAGCGTGAGTGCCACCCCAGCCCCTCTGGGACAGGATGGGGCAGGGATCTCTGTTCAGCAGGCATGACATGAAAAAGAATTCTGTTCCGCAGTATTTCAGGGGTTGCGGCCATGCCTTAGTTTTCTGCCTCCTTTTTCCTGCTCCATTCACCCTCCCCACCTCCACTGCCATCCTGGCTGTATTCAGAGCTCTGCTGTCTTCAAAACAGGTGCCAAAAGTGAAGCACAGCAGCAGCTGGTCTCAGAGCAGTGGGACTTCTTGTGCCAGCTGGAGATGGTGGGCGAGGAAGGTGCCTTTGTGCTTGGCTGGGATGAGGTGCTGACAGAGGAAGAGCTGTCCATGACCCTCAAGGTAAGAATGGCCCGGTGGGGGAAGAACTGCAAAAGTGAGCACAGAGTGCAGCTGGGCACATGAGCAGTGCAGAATGGCTCAGTGAAGAGGACAAGCACCTGAAGGCAGTTTGGCACTAACAGTCCTATGTGAACAGTGGTAGGGGGTGAGGCTCCCCAGCTCCCAGGTGCTCTTAAGTCATCTTCCTCTCCTGAAGTAGCCATCCGGTGTGAATTCACACACTTGAATGGCTCCACAGGCACTGCTGTTCTAGAAAGCTGTCACAACTTTGTAGTTGAGAGCTGAGATGCTTTGCAAGACCTACCAATACCCAGATTTACTGTTTTAATGTTCTTCTAGCCCACAATTACTTGCACTTAGGTATCTAAGCCTGTTTTAGTCTCTTTAGTGCAGCTGAGGAATAACCCTCCATGTGGCTCTGCTGTTCCACAGAGGAGAAAGCCTTATATACTCACACTGCCAGTGATTTATCCCTTTGCCTGGGTCACTACAGGTGCTCTGCATGTCAGAAGAAGAATTCAAGGAGTATAAGGAGCAAGATGGCTGGGAAGATGACAGTGAGGAAGAAGAAAACTCTACCCTTTCAAATGAGGCCCTCTCCAGACTTAAAACCCCTTGCAAGAAGCTCCTTTATGACAGTGTGCTGCTGACCCTGGAGTCCTATGGGGCAGACCTGAAAGCAGAGCAGGACTTGCTAAATAACAAGGAGGCTTATGAGAAACTGAGTCGAAGGGAGCAGCAAGCACTGCACGTGCGCTACGGACAGAAGAGGATCTTGCATCAGCTGCTAGAGCTGGTACAATAGAAACCACAGTGCTCTGGCCAGGACCTGGCTGGGGCTGATCCCGAGGGAAAGGTCAGCCTCTGGCCACCTCTTCTGCAGCAGAGAGGACAGACAGCAAGAGTGACTGCGGGTCCACTTGTCCCTCATACAGCACATGGATTTTTAGCTACCTCTACGTAAAGAAGGATCTTCACAGCACAAAGGTGGTTTTGAGTGGCCTTAGTGTACCATGAGAGCTCAGGTAACACAAATGCCACCTTTTTCCAGACGTTTTAAGAAACCCCAGCCATCCTAATGGCTGTTTTAGGAAGGCAGACACACTGCCAGAACAGCAGAGGATTCCCTCATTCAGCATCAGAAGTTTATGGCAAGAACTGCTCCTTGTCCAGATTAAGAGGACAGAAATCCATCCAGCTGGTAGCTCTTACCTTAGAGAGGTTCAGAGTAAATACCTGGCAGATGGACCTGCTGACAACAGTAAACTCTTCATCTGTACATATTTTATGTTAAACATGTTTGAGAGTACAAGTCCATCTAGCTGGTCTTCATGTAGGCTCAGTATAACAAATATTTCCTTTTATTTCCACAAAAGGTATTTCTGTGTGGGCTTCAGACTAACTCAGGCCGAGCACTGTCACAGTTCCACAGCTGCTGCAGGCTGAGCATTTGATACACACCCTCTGCTTGATGCAGTTCTACCCTGAACTCACTTTGGTTTTGCATGACAAAACACTGAGAGTTGACAGGCCAAGCTGTATTTAATAAAAATGAGTTTTCTTACCCAGTCCATGCTCTCTACTTCAGCAGCGTGTGAAGTCCCATCTAAGCAGGGGGATTGTTGCTGCTGCTGCAGTTAAAAGTACTGCAGACAAGCAAAACCCACATTGCACTCATGACCAAGCTCTGCTACAGCCCTGCCTGCAGTGCGTGGGGACAGGGTGGTTTAACAGTACTGAGGGGAGCTTGTTCTGGATTCCCAGCTGGGACAATAGCGAATTTGATCAGAATCGCACACAACTGCCACTAGCCTTCATAGAGACATTGTTAAAACTGGTATTTTGGTATCCTGTGTCCCCAAAGTAATCATATTGGAAAACGTACATGTCAGAGGAATATTATGTTTTATATCTTTGTTAAAGTTTGGGGTTTGGGTTAAAACTTGGTTTTTTTAGATGTGCCCAAATTTGGTGATGACCAAAGCATATAAAAGGTTTGAACACTGCAACAAGACTTCGTTATACCTACTGTTTGTAATTGTTTGCCTTCATGGGCATTGGATGTTCCACCTCACTGGAGAAGGGCATTTTGAGAACTTCATGTTTACACTCTATTTTTGGATCAAGGAGAAAGCTTGCAGGGGATTTGCTTACTAACAAGAAGTTGATTATGTGGTGGCCTTCATATCTATTAGAGAATTATGAAAAATGGCCTCAGAATGGATCCTGCAATTAATGTTCCTTTGTTGCCAGGAAGGTAAACAGGGCAAAGTACCAGATGTTGATCTGTTCTTTGCATTGAAGAATAATGATAAGGCTTGGAAGGAATGTGGATTGATGACAATAGACTCTCATGTTTTAGCACTAGAGAAATAAAAAGGAAGTATAATGAAGAGAATGAGGTGAAGAAGAGAAAGGAACGGGGAAAAGAGATCAGGAAAGGAAGGGTAAATTTGGTTGATTGCTGTGATAGTTGGAAGGGTAGGAGGTAATGTAAGGCAATCAGATTTCAACTGGTTAATTCCCATCTAGTAGGAAAAATTCAACAGAGTTACTGTAAGCAGAATGGGCACTGGAAACAAATGCCCACAGAACCCAGGGCACAGGTAATCCTGAAAGATGGGAGACTCCACAAGTAGGAAGACTGCTTACACTCAATTGGGATTTAGACTGAGAGGTCCACAGAATCCCCAACAGAACTTCCTGGTTACAGTAAATTTGGGGAATCAAAAGGTAGAATATCTAACAGAGGAGTACTTAGATGTAAATAAGCCTTCAGTAAACAAAGCACATCTATAGCTGGAGCCATAGGAACAAAGGAAATAAAGCCATTCTTCCAGCTACTCAAATTTGGAATTGGAAAGAGTTTTATAAAATTTCTGTACATATCCAAATGCCCAATGCCATTATTAGGAAAAGAATTAAGTACATTAAATGCAAAAAGAACCTCTGAAAAAGGACAGATCCATAAACCAGAAGAAAAAGCCCTGGGGCCATAAATGTTTATGTTACAGGATCAAAAACACCCAGAGAGGAAGAGATACCCATAAAAATACAAGATGGGGTAACTCCTCTCACGTAGGTGACTGGCACTCCTGCAAGATCACAAAAAGCAAAATTGCTAACAATCCAATTAAAACCAGGCACAAAATAGGTAAGATGAAAACAATACCCTGTTCAACTGGAAGCCAGAAAAGGGCTAGAGCCAAACACTGAAAGATTTATTAGCTTTGGGTTGCTTCAGGAATGCCAGTCAGTTTAATACCTCAATTCTACCCATTAAGAAACCATACTCAGATGAATATCACCTAGTCCAAGATTTAAGAGCCATAAAGCTTGCACACAAGATGTGCATCAACCACATAAAAAGAAACTGGTAAATGATTTAGGGCATTAGACTTGAAAGATATTCCCTTAAAAAATGTATCCTTTTGTACCCCACTGGATGCCAGAATTCAGGAACTGTTTGCATTTGAATGGGAAAATCCTCAAACAGGGCGCTGTCAATTATGCTGCACTGTTTTATCATAGGGATTTAACAACAGACATACAATTTCTGGAAAACAATGTATAACTTTGTGTCCTTGGGATTGGATATGGGAGGCATAGTAAAAAGTATAGTGAAGAAGAAATGAGAACTGTGTCCACAGTTCCAGCTTCAAAAGGCTCAGTTTTCAGTACAGCTGCTGACCTGGCAAAGAAATGCCATGGAATTTTAGGATTTAGCCACAATCTACTCCTTGACACAGAGGTGACTAATGCCTGGAACAGAGAGGATTCCCTCTGAGCTGCCACCCACTGGCACAGCTGGTTCAGTGATCCCTCAGAGCTGTTTTTTCCTCTATACAGCAAATGCAAAGCCAGGTCTGGAACCCCTTAAACCTGAGCAGGAATTCCTGACCTCTCTGCCCACACCACAGCAGTCAACTAAAGCAGCTAGCTCTAACAACCTGATGTTATGTACAAAGAAAGAAGTGAAGCTCTATTTCCTACCATTTGCTAAGTTGAAGGACCTTGCAATATTAGTAACACTGAAGCTGCACAACCTTAAAACAGCTAACCACAACCTAGGGCAGATTCCTGCTGCAGGGAGATCACAGCAGGGTGGAAGGCACTAGAAATGAAACTGATGGGCTGTCTACACTGAGTTATACCTCCAGTGCAGTCTCCTGCCTGAGACAAACTCTGCTCATGAGCTTGCAACCAAGCCATTTCTATTTTCACACAACTGCCCTTTCTGATGCACTTCAAAGCAAGACTCTGTCCAGTCATTACATCTGCCCACTGAATCATGCTAGAGAACAAACCCCGCTGCTTTCAACAGGCAGTGCCCAAACCACATTGGAAAACTGCAGGTTTTGGATGGGTAGAACAGGCTTTGGAAGACACCAACTGGCCAGGACAGAACTGGAGAGAATAAGCACAGTGGCACGTGCTGCATGTCATGACTTTAATGTGTAACTACAGTATGCATACATACAAGAGTGGGAGAACTAAAGCCCAAGAACTAGAAAGGCTACAAAATACAACACGTGGACCAATACTTTACAAAACATTGAAAATCCTTACAAAATGGGCTGTTGTATTGGTCCTTTGGGTTTTTTGTTTTGTTAAATTTTTTCTTTTTTTTTTCTTTTTTTTTCTTTTTTTTTACAAACTTATACTGTGTGGTAGCAGGGGAGGGTGGGAAAAGGTCTAGATTTAACCCCTCATCTTCCAAAATTTACAACTGTCCCAAAAAAAAAAAAAAAAAAAAAAACACAAAAAAAAAAAAAAAAAAAAAAAAAAAAAAAAAAATCCCCAAAAAAAAAAAAAAAAAAAAAAAAAAAGCTATAGGCCTGGTCTCTGGTTTATTTACTGAAAACAGCTGACCCTCACCCAAAGGGCCTGTTTCTTCTCCAACAAAAAGGAGGCATTCTCTGACTGCCACTCCACTTGCTGTCTATCAGCATTTGATGAGGGTGAAGGGAAAGCAACACTGAACCTTAACCCCTCCCTCACCCCTCCTGTACTCCACAGAATTCCCATATTCCAAACACATCCACTTTTGTTTTAAACAACTTAGTGATTTAAAGGTCCCCCATTCACATAAAGAAAAATAAGTTACTGGCTTTTCAATATTCTTTGGGAGTCTGGGAATGTCAGGACAAGGAGGTCTGCCCCAGACAAGTGCTTGGCATCAGCAGCTGCCCCTTTATTACAAGATGGACAGGCAACAGTTACCCACCTGCCTTTTACACAATTTGCACAAACCCAAAAGTCCAGACAAATGTTTCTGTTCCTTGTATTTACACTAGTTCAAATGATATTCACAGCATCTTCTGAAGTTTGGCCGAAAGTCAAAAAATTTGTTTCAAACTTTGGAACATGCCCACATAAGACTTTCACCCAGGGTCTGTTGTGTCTACCCAATCAAGGGGGCTGGGAAGGTCAGGAGGAGCCTTACAGAGTCTTCAGTCAGCTGATGGGACAGGACCTCCAGGCTGGCACTCTTACAGCACAGGATGCAGCTCATCTAACTGGCACCAGTCCCTTCCATAACTTGCTGGGCCTGCTTCTGCCCCATGCAGCACTGTGCAACCGACTGGAACAACCTGCACACAGAAGCAAAGCAATGGTAGTTGCATTTCTGGCAGCAAATGGATGCTGTGACAGCACCAGAAACTCAAGGTTCAACTGCTTCAGAGATACCACGTTAATGATTCTGTGGTTAAGCTATACTCACTTTTCAATTTCTGGAGCACAGTGAACAAACTCATGGTTCCAGAACTTAAAGGCTGGATTTTTTATCAGCTCAATGAACGTAATAAGGAGACCCCAGGGATGAGGCCTATTTACAATCAGTCGTTCCAAGAGAACCCTGAAATCCAAAAGTAAGAACACTTAGAGCTCAAAGATCAAAAATACAGAAGGAAGGAAAGCAAAAAGCTGAATGTTGCCAAGTTAAATGCCGTCCCTCTCACCTGGTGATCTGCTCCTGGATGGCCTCTGTGTTGGCCTCTGCAAACAGGTAGAGCATGGTGCAGCTGAAGTAGTGGGTGTGGCTGTTGGGGTACCGCAGCTGGTTGGCGATGGCGTTCAGGAAGAGGTACCGGCCTGCAGGAGAGAACACTGAGTACACATGGCCTCCCTTGCACACAAAGGGGAATAAAGAAGCAACCAGTAGTGCTTGAGATTAACCTTTGGGAGACTTGTGGAGGTACATGAAACAAAACCAACTGAAGGTATCTAAAAGCTGCATCTACCCAGGCTGATGGAGAAGTAAGAATTGAATTCTGAAGGCATTTCTAATTCCCTTGAATACTTTGAACATTTGGTTAGAACATCACTCCTATATTCTAATGTAGCATTAATTTCTGTGTATTCACTATCAGCTCCATGAAATCACAGAATCATCGACATTGGAAGAGACCTTTAAGGCCATCAAGTCCACCCATCAACCCAGCACTATCCCTGTAACCCCATAACCACTAAATCAGATCACTCAGCACCAAATCCAGACACCTCTCAAATACCTCCAGGGATGGCAACTCTACCACTTCCCTGGGCAGCCTAATCTAGTATCAGA